TTTGTACAGTATAAAAATCATTGGGTCTCATTCATGAAACACGAGCAGAACGAATTTTTGTGTAAATCGTGTGTAAAGTGGTTCTGGCGAAAATGTTCGGATTCATTAAAATGTTCGTATTTTCCAAATGTTAGTTGGTACACAAGAAATCTACATCTGCTCCCAGCCACGCGTAAATAGTGCGCTTAACACCCGAACGTTTTGCTCATTAATAAGGCTGCATTTTAATTCACCTTAGGGTAGCCTACATATTTGCACAGCATTTTGAAAAAATATTATATATAGTAATTACATACGTTTTTTCTTATTATGAGAGCCAGAATAGCATCTGCGATGGTGGTCCAACTCCAGTTTGAATAGGCCTACTTTTTTTCCGAAGTGAACTAATTCGTTTTTTGCTCTCAAGCTTAATGTCGAACCATTTTCTTCTCACTTCTGGGAATGTTCGATTAACAGATGAAACTCCATTAACTGCATCTGTAATATGCTGCCACTTATTTTTAGGACCCGATATACGCCACTATGTAGGCTACGCTTGAAAATAAAATGTGGTGTTTTGAATGAACTTCTGATAATAAAAGTTCAATTTCTGCATCTGAGAAAATTTATTTTAATTCGCATTCATGTCATAATATGATGCCCATATATAGTTGTCAGTCGGATTTAATGGGCGGGATTTATGGTAGGGGTAGAGTGGGGGAAAATGCCCCCCTGGGGTAAAATGCCCCCCACCCGTTTTCCCCAAAATAACCACTAGAATGAATCAAGATACATTTTTACTATTGCTATGCACTACGTTGACAACGGGGATATACAAATCTCCATGGAGAAGCAGACACCAGCGACGTATTTGAAGAGAAGGGGATTACATGGAAAATGCTATAATGTTCAGATATTAGTAAACAAGTGTTTAATAGAATATTGTTCACAGTGATATCACAGTAATGTACAGGGACGGACTGGGACTAAAAAACGGCCCTGGACTTTGTCTAGGCCCGGCCCAAGGCAATCGGCGCGCGGAAACTCGACAACAACAACAATAACGCCTGCCACCAGGCATGTGTCACAAGACTTTAATTGTGGCTGATACTATACCATCCAAATTATAGCTAACAGCATTATACAATCTATTCCATGCTGTCTTAAAATGAATGTATTACTTAATAATCTTAATTAATTTATGCAGTAATTAATCTTAGGTACTGCACAAATAATAATACCACATCTAAATGAAAATAGGCTACACCATTACAAATGTAACTTCTGTATTTAAAATCTTCAAAGTTTGTAAGGATTAACTGTAACGTTACCAACATTTTTAAAAGTAAAAGCACAACATATTTCTTACTATTAGCTACTGTGGCATTTTACAGCTAAAATGTTGAAGTTTAGCTGTTTTAACTACTGTAATCATTAAAATGTAGCAAGCTGAATATCACTTCCTAACATCATCCCGTGAGACACGCGCACACTAGCACACACACTAGGGGTGGGAATCTTTGGTCACCTCACGATCCGATCCGATTCTGGGAGTCACGATCCGATTCCAGAACGATTCTTTATCTACCCGGGCGAGACAGCACACTTCAAGTGTAACATCAAAGAAAGCGCGCGTCTCTCACAGCGTATCCTGTGCAATGAAGCCTGTGAATGTCCTTGTAATTCGCTTCAACCTTTCCGAACTTTATGAAAGATTATTTTACGGAAGGTTCGAGTGGTGTATGTGTGTGAGGAATTGGAAGCAAGCAGAATACGGGTGTTTCTAAAGCAAACTCAACGTCATCGCACATCTGGTTAAAAACTAAGCTCAGAATCGATTCTGGAATTCTCAGAATCGATCCAGAATCGTTGGAGAGAGAATCGCAATGGATCGATTTTTTCTCCCACCCCTAACACACACGCAAGGTCTCTAGCTCGCTCCCTCTCTGTGACTGCGTGTGTGGCGGGTGGTGGGCCGGCCCGCCGGCTGTCCTGGAGTACCGGCCGTTCTGTGATTCTCCAGATCACACAGATGGCCAGTCCGCCCCTGGTAATGTATGATAGATGAATAGTGAAGTCTGTAGTTTGAGAGCATATGTTATTTATAAGGAATATAATTATATTTTTAAAAATAAACAATTAAAAAAAAAAACATAGCTTGTGGGGTAAAACGCCCCCTATGCTGAGGGGTAAAACGCCCCCCAAGGGGCATAGTTTCTCTTTATCATAATTACTATAGTAACATATTTCTGTTTATCAAAGTCTTTATTTTACACTTTAATGCAGTATAACTAGGCGATAAAATCAAAATATTTTAACAAAACATGATAAAATTACCTCAAGTAAGCATTAGCTAGCTAGCTTGGTGGATGCAATGATGGAAGGTGGTTAGGTGACCCAATGATAAAATATAGTGACTTTTAGAGCATTTATTGAATATATTTCACTTTAAATATACTAATTTATGTTTAATATTTATTTAGGGTTTTCTGTTTTTCTTGATGATAGTGGTGAACAAATACTACATCAATTATCAACCCCATATAGGCCTAGTGTAGAAATCAAAATATTAAAATGTTAGAAATTTGGCTATTTTGTACATTCCTGAAATAAATATTAATAGGTATATATACATGTTGTTGCATTACTTGCCTTTTACTTTTAGAGATTAAAAACTATATTTATTTTGCTGTTGATCTATGAAGCAAACTGGTTGGTAAGAAAGGGGGCGTTTTACCCCACCTTGGGGGGCGTTTTACCCCACCGCTGGGGCAAAACGCCCCCTTTGTACAAAAATATTTTCAGTCAATAATATATATAATTATGCAGGTTGAGCAATTTTAATATTAAGTAATATTCTCCTGCCATAGTCACTCAAAACTGGGATGGCAATTCTAGTCACATGTATGTTTTGTTTCACAGTAATGTCACATTTTCCTTAAGGGGGGCGTTTTCCCCCACTCTACCCTAATTGAGAATGAACGTGCACGCGCATCCCATTTACAACTGATTGGAATTCATTAACACACACACACATTTCACTATCACATCTGACGTTTACGAAGTATTTGTGAATCAGGAGAAGAGTTTTCGGGAAGGTCTCTTTACGCGAAAATCACTCGCATATTTACTCGTATATTTACGAATGTTTCATGAATGAGACCCATTGTGTCTATGGAAAGTCCCCATAAAACATAAAAACACAACATTTGTGTGTGAACTGTAAAAGGTTCAACCAGGCGCTCAGGTAAAGTTATAAAATCCGTGATAGCAGGTGCTCTTGGGGTAGGGAAAAGATCCAAAGAAACGAAAAGCAGGTCCCAGGCACTCAGTCAAGTTTTCAATGAGGAGAAGGATAAAGTTAAAAAGCCTTTATTTAGTATGGGTTAAATCATTTTACAAGTACACGAGCCAACATGTTTCGACCAACAAGTGGTCTTCTTCAGGGCAGGAACTTTGCATAAAACGTTGTTATTTTATTTGCCTTGTGCATGTCATACACATTTTTTTCATGCTAGCTCTTTTTTTTTTTTACATCCCCCTCCATTAACCCATATAAAATGATTCATTCAGCTGCTCTTTCAGTTTTCAAATTAGAACCACAAATATGACTTTAACATTTCAAACCCCCAGAATTGTTTATCATTACAACTTGCCTTCAACTGTCCTTTGCCGGTAATGTCACTGTAATTGTATTTTGGCTTGTTTCTGCATACATCTCACAGCCGCATGATCATTTACAAACAAATCAGTGAATTATCAATCAGGTTCCAAAAATCAATTAATATCTAAACATGTTATGATGTGTTGCATCATCATACAGTATGTGATTTCAGGAAAAATGGTTACTTTTTCAAAGGACAGAAATAAACATTAACATCCTCCTCAGTGCCTCACACCAACCTTTGAACCACTGTGGTGTTCAAAAAGCTGAACGTTCTGGCAAGATTTCAAGAAAAAGAATAAGAAAGAAGAGAAAGAAAAAAGAAAAATGTGTTGTACAGCTGCACTGAATTTCTACAGAACTGGGCTCATGCATTTTAATATTGTAAATATGTGATGAATATTAAATTATACATGTACATGTGTGAGTGAAATCTAGCTGTCCTCCTTTTCAGAACAATCTGAACCGAGAGCTTACTTATTATTATTCTTAAACATGCGTCATTTAAGTCATAAATTAAACGTTTGTTACGTTTCCTATTATGTTAATTTTGTATTAAATTAAGGATGTGTGCTAGAGATGAATGAATATCAAAACATCTGTTTTATCATTTTCAACTTTAATTAATTTTTTTTAATCAAAACAAATCAAATCAGGAATGCCTAATTCTACAAAAAATGACTCAGAGACTGCTTTTGATCGAACATTCTGCAATGTTAGCTCTCGCATTAAGTTTAAAAATAGATGTTAAAAGTGTATTGCTTATTTATTTATTTTTTTATCATCAGAAATGCTAATGTAGTCATGCTAAAGGCTTAATATGCCAGAGGACGGGTACAAATCCCTGATTTTTACTAGGGATTGTGGCATTTTCCTTTCTCATTACTGACGAACATGGCCAGTATGCAGGGATTGCTTCATTCAAAGTGACTTTAAAAATGAGTCTCTGACCCATGAATCCCTGGGGAAAAGGTAATGGATTATGTCTTTCTTGACTTTCTCTCAGTCAAACATGAGAGTCAAAAACATTAGTAATCGCTGCTACAGCCAGCTGGGAATAATAAAATGTAAATAAAATAAATTTAAATAATGATCTATAATTTCTACAAATCAAAAAAATAAGAAAAGAGACAAATCTGCATGTTTTTAAATAGATATTTCAAAATATATATTTTTTATTCAGTGTTTGTCTTTGCAATTAAAAATATATAATTTAAAATGTAATATACTATAATATAATATAATTAATTTATCATATATATAATACATTTGTTAGGTATGTAATGCTCCAACAATAATTTTTGTATTGGAAAATGTATAACTTTCTAGAAGTTGGGTAATAAAATATAGCTCTATACTCTTGTTTTCAGATTGAGATTGAAGTTGAATGAATGAGAGTTGACGGCGTGGTAAAGTTTGATTCCAAAGTAGTATTTGACCTTAGAGCATAAGACACATCAGGTAAAGGCACAATGAGATGGATGGCTATCCCTACAGCTAGGATGAGAAGAGCAGCGAGGGTGGTCAGACCCCTCCTGAGGATCAGCTGAGAGGTAGAGAGCAGAGCTGTGGGCTTTTCCTCCACGCGAGTCACGTCTGGCTCTCCATCCTGATCATTTGAGTTCACAGTTATATACTCTTCCCCATTCTGAGAGCAGACAAGACACAAGCTCAGTTTTCAAAGATGTTTTTTGTTACAGATATAGTAAAAGTCAATAGACATACCTCACTGTGCCTCGCAGTGAGACTATCAGGGTACACTGTAGAGATTTTACTCTTTCCAGCTCGTTTCACTGCCTGAAATGTTATGTATATAACTTTATATCTAGTTATATAATTCAGATGAGAACAGAAATTAATTAAAGTCAGCATGAAACGAAAGATGTGAGTCTTTTCTTTCATAATGTGCTATCTGAGTGAAACGGCTTCTCGAACAAGGAAAAATGTAGGACGGGACTTGATTTTGGCTCCTAAACTCTGGAATAGCCTTCCTGATAATGTTCGGAGCTCAGACTCACTCTACCAGTTTAAATCTAGATTAAAGACGCATCTCTTTAGCCCAGATAATGCAAACTCAGTGTGTTCACTACAGCTCCTAATGTGTGTGCACTAACTCGGATGGGTTAAATGCAGAGGACAAATTCTGAGTATGGGTTACTATACTTGGCCTTCATGTCACTTCACTTCCTTAAAAAAAAAAACGATTTAGTCATTGTTTTAGCAATGCAGTCTAGCTCCATTTTGATATATAAAATAATCCGATCTAATCCTAATGACAAAATCAAGTCCCATACTTCATTTTCACTCAAAATTACGTCACATTATGGAAATACTGTAAAATGGACTGTGAAAGGCTTACAAAAACCTAAAATAGAAAGCACAACTAAGACTGAAATGTACAGTATAGCCTACAAAGAGTTTAAATGGAGTCTGTTAAATTAGCCTAAGTAGAAGAAGAAGAATAGAAAAAAGAGTCATATTACGAGAGTGCTGCCTTGCAAGAGCTGTAATTAAGGTGGCCTACCTCTTTGGTCACTCTCTCCCAGTTGAGTCTAAAAATGACTGCAATGAAAAAACTGGACTGCAGACATACACAAATTAGAAGTCCCAGCCAAAAGCCTGTGAAAGCAAGAGAGGACATTGCTCTAGGACAGCTGTTATCTCATTACAGAAATGTTTTAATGAATGCTGTGCTCGAGACGTATTAATGCAATTCTGCAGGGACCCGTGCTGGGTCCACTCATGTTCTCTACGTGCTTCAACCCAATGAAATTATGATTTATAAAGCAGATGCTAACATGGTGACTAGAGAAGATGACAAGTTCACAGAATATCAACAAGTACAACAAGTGACAATTTAAACTGTTAATAAGATCACAGAATGAAAAAATGAAGGAAAACGATGGAAAACAAACCAACAACGTCTAATTTTGCTGCAAACATGAGAGAGGTGCCAAGTGGAAGTCCAATGCAGTAATACCCAAAGAAATTAGCAACGGCTGCAATCTTCTGCTGCCCTGATCCCAACAGAATACCCATGCAGACACACTTGAAGAGAGAGTAAAAGAATACATTTAGATATTTACAGACTTTATCTAAAGCGACTGTGCATTTAAAGCTGCAGTCCGTAGCTTTTTTGGGTTAAAAATTAATAAGCTTAATAATGTTTTTAATTCCAGTGGTACTGGTGGATTTCCGCGGGAAATTCGAGCATGTCTTTGCGTCATTACGTCACATCTGTACACATAAAGAAGGAGTCTCGGCTAGTATAAGCTATATTGCGAGTGAGGATGTTGGAGGTGGAGATTTATAGTCTTTTCTCACAGCACTTGATGTAATTAAACTTATCAATTTGATGGCGGATCCAGAAAGGTTCAAATGACAATCACCAGTGACAACTGGAGATTCACCCGTTGTAAAATGCAAAAGACTTCGGGGTGTGGCAACAGAAAAAAAGAGACTGCAACCGGGCCCATGCGAAAACAAGGATAATATCTGAAGGGCATTAAATGTAGTCATGCAATGCTGATGTTGTTAACATTAACAGTTTGAGAACAAAGTATAATTTGCACGGTTTTACATGATATGATAAGTGATTGTTAGATATAATCAGCTCGATTTACTGCAATGATTTTTTTCCCTTAGTTGGTCGGAACAAAAGTGGATGTTACTTGCTTGTTCAGATGACATTTTCCGGTTAAATTATTATGTTGGTCATAGGCTACTTCCAAAAAGTAGAATCTGTGATTCTGAATGACAGTATCTACACTGGCGCGGTGACTGACAGCCGCACACTCTCCTCAAACATTGGATTCATCCGCGCTGTGCCGTGTCGAGGCACAACTCACGTAAAGTTGATAATTCCGCGAATAACTGCAATTACATATTTCGAACAAAGATGGCGACAAAGAGGAATAACTGCGGACTGCAGCTTTAAGCAATACATTTTATTAGTTTGTGTGTTCTTCCAGTTGAGCTAAACAAATACTGAAATGATCATATAATATATGCATAAATACATATATATATATATATATATATATATATGCATATATTATATTATGTGTATCTATATTTTTAGATACTTTTTTATTTCTAGATGGCTGTGTTTTCCAAATGACCTGCAATATATTTATATAAATGGTAAATGGACTGCATTTATATAGCGCTTTCACAGACCCAATGGCCACCAAAGCGCTTTACATTTGCCTCACATTCACCCATTCACACACTCATTCATACACCGACGGGCGACGGCAGCCATGCAAGGCGCCATCCAGCTCGTCGGGAGCAGCCGGGGTTAGGTGTCTTGCTCATGGACACCTCGACACTTGGTCAGGTGGAACCGAGGATTGAACCACCAACCTTCCGGTTTGTAGACAACCCACATGAACCACTGAGCCACTGCCGCCTATATATGTATTGTTTTCCAAATGACCTGCAATATATTTATATATATATATATATATATATATATATATATATATATATATATATATATATATATATATATATATATATATATATATATATATATATATATATATATATATATATATATATATATATATATATATATATATATATATATATTGCAGGTCATTTGGAAAACACAGCCATCTAAAACCAGAAATAAAATAAATTCCTCAGAAAAAGTAAGAGCAATGCGATGTACTCACAACAAGACCATCAAAGAACTGAAGCACACAGTAGACATTAAAAATTTTGGAGACGAGTGCCACAATACGCCTACAAAATAAGACACAATCTTCAGTACATTACTGTCTAAAGAACATCTTTCTCTGATTTGGAAAAAAATACTTACTCGTCTGATGTAAATAAGAAACCAATGACGTTTTTTGTTGACACTAGCACAAGACCTTGCAAAACAGCCAAGACAGCTGCATCCAGATGATAAAGGAAAAGAAAAAAAACATGTCAACCTTGAGCAGACACTGAAAGATGAATGTGTCTCAAAGGAATATGGCTGTTTGTAAACCTGTGCAGGTCAGCGAGACCTTGCTGGTGCGGATCGCTCCGGCCATATCTCCAGCTCCAAGTGCATTGCCAACACGTACACATGCGGCACCTTGAATCCCTAATGGAAACTGACATCCCAGTAAAACTTGTTAAGAAAATAAACTACCGTTCCAAAGTTTGGGGTCAGGACGTTCCCTTTCGAGAACGGTTCACTCGTATTGCGTAGCTATATGCTATGGGAAAACACGTTTTCTCAAGAATATTGAAGCCTTTATTTTAAAAAACGCAGTGCAGCTGCAAAGCAAGCACAGTGCAGGCTGTCTAAGCACGCTGATTGGCTGTGCTGTGGCAACTGCACGAACCTTGCTCAGCTTCCTGAATCCGACGCCGTCAACGCTGTTCGCCGTTCCCCGTTCCCCTGTGGCCATCCGGCAGAGTATTCTTTTTGAAAGCCTTTCACAAAAGAGCAAACAGCGTTGTTTCAAATGCCGCGCCCGGTCTGTGTTTCATGCTGGGTCTCCCTGCATAGCACTGATGGGCACAGTGAGTGTGCTTCCTGCCTCGGCGCTGAACACGCCTAAGCTGCACTCACTCAGGGCGGCTGTTCTTACTGCGAGAACATGCCGCTCTCCGCTTGCTCTCTTTATGTCAGAGAGCGACCCCGCACCTCGCGCCCTCCCGTTTCCAGCCCTCCTCGAGCCTCGGAGGAACAAACGGCGGGGTCAGAGGATGAATGACCGCTCGGAGGTGAGCGAGCTCACGCCGGGTCCGTCCCCGCGTGCCTCACTCACTCCAGACAAAGGCAGCACCAGGGCGAGCGTCGACGCCGATCTTCTCCCCGTCAGCCCCCGGGCCGCCGAAGAGCTGGGTCTCAACTGGTCTACACCGGAAGAGCCTGCTAGAAGCCGCCTCTATGAGTGGTTTCTGCCGAGGTGCCAACAGGCCCCTTGCCAGCGGCCAGCTCCCTTTTTCCCCGAGATCTACGAGGAGCTCACAAAGTTGTGGCACGCGCCCTACTTCAACCTCAGCGACGCTCTCAACACTTGACGGCGCAGAGGAAAAGGGGTATGAGAAACTGCCCCCCCCCCCCCCCCCCCTGGAGGAAGCGGTGGCTGCACATCTTTACCCTCCCACCGCTGTTGGATGGAGGTCTAACTGTGCGTTCACACCGGACGCGAATAGCGTGTCAAATTCGCGTCTACCGCGTCTAGTTTGACGCTTGACCACTTTGTGTTAATTCGCGTGTCAATGGCGAAATTGACGCGCGTAAAAACAAAAGTTTGAAGCGAAATTTACGCGCGTCAGAGGCGAAATCCGGAGGCGAAAGTTTCGAAACCCGTTGGCGGCCATCTTTTTAGATGTTTATCGAGCATTAGCATTAGCATTATTCGAGAGAGTCACCGCTCGTATATGCTCTGGAGAGCAGAAACAGCTCCGTAGGGGACATCGTCGCTGTACTCGGGTCCACCAGAACCTCCGGAGGGTTTCAGGAGTTTCACAATTTGCTCCAGGAGCTAGGTTTGGTGGACCTAATGGTGAGGACGCTGACGAGGACAGCGTAGGCCGTATAAGCCCTCGGCCTCGAGTGGTCTAGCTATGCCTGTCGAGCCCGCTCTACAGCCCGGCGCGAGGTTCACCCTCGCCCGCAAACACCTAATCTGTCATTTATTTTTGTTTTGATAATAAATGAAGCCAGCCTCCAAAAGTGATTAATCTGTCCTGTGATTTTTCTCTCTCTCTCACACATCACTGTCCAGACACGAACTTATATGTTGGTCTTTACATTATAATAATATTTCATATAATCTAGATATGGAATAAATAGCATTCAATGCAAAATGAATATGTCTCATATATTGAAATCAAGTTTTATGTGATAAAATATTTGCTTTGTTGTGCATTAGAACCACAGTCATATATTACAAAATAATTTATTGAAGCATCCAGATACTTCACCACGTGACAGCAGCAAGCAGCTAGGCTCCTGATTGGTTAACGCGGCGCGAATTGACGCAGAAGTTCAGATTTTTCAACTCGGGCGGCAGACGCGAATTCGCGTCAAACGCGTGAATGCACAAATAACACTAACTAAATCATTCGCGCGTAACCCGCTTAACGCGCCAGACGCTCAATTCGCGCCATTCGCGCGAACTTGACGCGCGAATGAGGCGTATTCGCGTCTACCGCGCCGCGCTCTACGCCTCATTCGCGCCGCAGGAATTTTTTACGCGCGTAACGCGTCTTTGCATTGACTTAACATTGAAATCACTCGCGCCTGACGCGCTATTCGCGTCCGGTGTGAACGCACCATTAGGCAGCACATTCTTCTAAGCCGTGCAGAACGACTTCAACTCTCGCCGGCCGAGCCTACACTTCCGCTGGTCAAGTTGCTTCAGCCCTGCACACTATGGCGGTCCTTCAAGTTTTCCAGGCTAATCTCGTCTGCTCCTTGGACGAGGCTGCACCGGAAAACGAGACCTTTAAGGATCTGTGCAGCGCCACTGACCTGGAACTGCGTGGCACCAAGACTACCACCCAGGCCATTGGACGAAGCATGGCCAGCCTGGTGGTGTTAGAGCGCCACCTGTGGCTTAACCTCACAGAGATTAAGGACGCAGACAGAACTGCTTTCCTGGACTCCCCGGTTTCCACCTCTGGTCTCTTCGGCCCATCGGTAAAGGGTTTTGCTGAGCGCTTCACTGAAGCACAGAAGTCTTCGCAGGCCATGCGACACTTCCTTCCAAAGTGCTCCAGCTCGGCCCAAGACCGCGCCGACCCAACAGTCAGCCAAACCAGCGCCGCCGGTCTCTCAGCCCCACCCAGCGGCTGAAACCAGTCAGCGCTTTAAACCAGCCAAGCGCTTCCCTTTTCCAAAGCACCAGGATCCCCGGCCTAAACTTACGCTGGACCCGGAGCCTCGGAACCCATCCTAATCCAGCAGAAAGGAACAGAAGGGGGCCAATTCTCGCTCCTGAAACCACCCCTGAAAATAGCTCGCATGCTTCTTCCAGCCCCCTCTTCAGTTCAGGCGGATGGAGATGTTCTGATTGCAATCAACGGGCCCGTTTCAATTTACACACTCCAGCAAACAAACGCTTTTTTAACAGCGACCCACATAAAGCACAAAAAGAGCAAATTTCCTCTTCCAACCACCTGGGCTGCCGGGTCCCTGATACACGGCGGCCCGCCCCCAGACTTCATTCAACCCCTAGTCACTGGGGCCAAGGCCTGGGAAGCCATCCCCGACGTGTCAAAATGGGTATTAAGCACAATAAAACGAGGTTACTCGCTACAATTCGCTCGCAGCCCCCCGCGCTTTAATGCTGTGGTCGAGACATCGGTAAGGATCAACGTGGCTCACGTCCCCCGCACCGAAGTGTCAAATGTGAAAATGTCTGGCTCATCCTGGCCCAGTCAGAGGCGAGTCACAGACTCACAAAACCCAGCTCCTCGGTCATCTAGAACGCAGAATGCCTTGGGCTCAAGATAAACTTCTCCAAGAGTGTACTGTCCCCCAGCCAGTGTATAACGTACCTGGGAACAGTTATCGACTCAGCTAGCTGCTTCGTTCAAAGCGGGCTCCCTCACGCCCCTCAGAACGGGCCTTATGGGCACTGCATCGTCAGTACTTCAGCTAGGCCTACTGCGTATGCTGCGTATGCTGCCTACTGCAGCCCCCTTCAGCACTGGCTGAAACCCCAAGTCCCGGCTCATGCATGGTGGCTCGGCCGACTACGTATCAGGGTAAACCACAGCTGTATCAAAGCCCTGGCAACATGGAAAGACACCAGCTGTTACCAGTCTGGTGTAAGCATGGGTCTAGTCTCAAGGAGGAAGGTGATTTCAACAGATTCCTCCAACTTAGTTTGGGGGGGCTCTGTATGAGGGCAGGCCTGCCTCCGGCCTCTGGTCGAGCTTGGAGAAGAGCCTACATATCAACTGCCTCGAAATGAGAGTGGTCTTTCTAGCACTAAAAACCTTCCTCCCACACCTGGCAGGACACGATGTCTTGGTCCGGACGGACAACATGGCAGTGGTGTCATATATAAATCGCAAGGGCGGTCTCAGGTCATACAACCTGTACACCATGGCCAAACAGCTCCTCATATGGGCTAATGCCAACCTGCGCTCGCTCAGAGCAGCGCATGTACTGGGCATACTGAACCAGGATGCAGATATGCTATCTCGAGACAATGTTCCCCCCAAGGAATGGTCTCTCCACCCTCAGACGGTTCATTTCATCTGGAGTGTCTTCGGGAGGGCAGAGGTTGACCTCTTCACCTCAGAAAACAACTCTCACTGCCCAATATTCTTTTCGAAGAACAGGGAACACGAATGGCCCAGCCGCCCTCTTTACGCATTCCCTCCGGTCTCGATGCTCCCTCAGGCCAACGAACGGATCAGGGAGAACAAGTGTGCAGTCCTCTTAATAGCCCCCTCTGGCGGACCCAGACATGGTACCCTGAGTTGATGCAGCTGCTAGGGAAAGCTCCCTGGCCTATTCCGCTGAGGAAGGACCTCCTCACTCAGGCGAACAGGACAGTCTGGCACCCCCATCCCGACTTGTGGGCCTTCCATGTATGGCCCCTCAACGGGTACCCAGGGACCTCCCGGAGAGAGTCCTAAACACTATTGCCGAGGCTAGAGCTCCGTTCACAAGACGCCTCTACGCCCTTAAGTGGTCAGTGTTTACCGGCTGGTGCTCAGCTCGGAACCTAGACCCATATTCGTGTGAAGTACCACCGATACTTTCCTTTCTCCAAGAGCTGCTGGACGCGGGCCCGACCCCCTCCATGTTCAAAGTGTTTGCGGCTCCCATAGCAGCCCTCCATGCTCCTGTGGCCAGCCAATCTTTAGGGAAAAGCGACCTGATTGTACACTTCCTCAAAGGAGCCAGAAGGCTTAACCCGCCTCAACCTCCCTCTATCCCTGCCTGAGCCGCTTCAGTCGGCTGACTTAAAGCCACTTTCGCTCAAGACCGCACTCCTACTAGCCCTAGCATCGAGTAGGCGATTTACAAGCGCTCTCCATGAACGCTTCCTGCCTTGAGTTTGGGCCCAACGACTCCAGAGTCGTCCTTAAACCAAGACAAGGCTATGTACTCAAGTTGCTCTCTACTCCATTCAGAGCCCAGGTTATTTCACTATCGGCTCTTCCCCTGTAGGAAGACAATAGAGACTTGAATCTACTCTGCCCTGTCAGGGCTCTCAGAGTCTATTTAGGAGTGTTCTGCTCCTTTCAGGCAGTCGGAACAGCTCTTTGTATGCTTCGGTGGCTGCACCAAAGCCCGGTCACGAAGCAGAGATTTTCACGATGGATAGTAGATGCTATCTCTTTAGCCTACGCTTCAATGGGCCTTCAATGCCCCATAGGCGTCAGTCAGGGCTCATTCCACAAGGGGCATGGCCTCTTCATGGGCATGGTCCAGTGGTGTACCAATTGAAGACATTTGTGCTGCGGCCGGCTGGTCTTCGCTGTCCACATTTGTAAGATTTTACAACTTGGAAGTGCCGGCCCTGCAGGCACGAGTCCTTTCTATATAGGAGGTATTTGCCCCTGTTGGGCCCAAGCCTCTACATATCCCTTCGAGGGCCCCGTCTCATCCGGTCCCCGTTGGATTTTGACTTTAGTTCTACTATAAGTCTCAGGCTTATCCGCTCTAGGCGGTAGTCAGAGCGAAGTCATCAGCTAATAGCTCAGCTTTTAAAAATGGTTTCCCATAGCGTATAGCTACGCAATACGAGTGAACTGTTCTCGAAAGGGAACGTACTCGGTTACTAATGTATCCTCGGTTCACTGAGAGATAAGATAACGAGTATTGCGTAGCCGGCCGTGCTATTACGCTGCACGTCCAGGTGCTGTAGCTTCAGTCGATTTAACCTGATTCCTATGGCGAAATGGGCTGCTTATATAGTCAGCAGCCACACCCATTCTGGTACTCGCAAGGCGGGAAGCGCCCTGATAGGTTCACTCGTCCTCGCTGATTCGTCATAGGTTCGTGCAGTTGCCGCAGCCCAGCCAATCAGCGTGCTTAGACAGCCTGCACTGTGCTTGCTGTGCAGCTGCACCGCATTATAAAATAACTGTTTTCCATTTTAATATATTTCCAAATGTAATTTATTCCTGTGAAGCTGAATTTTCCGCATCATTACTCAAGTGTTCAGTGAAACATGATCCTTCAGAAATCATTCTCATATGCTGATTTGCTGCTCAAGAAACATTTCTTATTATAATCAATGTTGAAAACAGTTATGCAGTTATGGTTCTTTGAAAACAGAAATGCAGTTATGGTTCTTTAATGAATAGAAAGTTACAAAAAAAACTTCATTTATTTGAAACAGAAATCTTTTGTAACATTATAAATGTCTTTACTGTCTCTTTTGATCAATTTAATGTAAAAGCGCAATTTAAAAAATTCTTACTGACCCCAAACTTTTGAACAATAGTATATGTGTGAAGCTAGTTTATTATAATTTATTAGTTCTCTATTCTCTATGATTCTTTATAGCCTATACTTGTTTGTCTGGTTATGTGAAACAAAGTAAATCATTGTTTGATAAGTATTGGGAGAAGAGAAGCATGCCATGTTCCTTCTGGAACTTAATAATTGGTGGAATATTGGGGCTTAAATTACCATGTAGTTGATAAAAGCCAGCATAATGACTGCATGTTGAGCTGCAAGATCCAACTCTCCCAGCATCCCTGAAAGAGACGGACATTTGGAAATGTGTTTGATGGTATTATAATGTTGCATTTAAGTGGTTTCTCTTTCTTGTTAAAGCTTTTACACAAGCCTTTTCTATTTTCCTGTAGCAATCATGATTGAAAAATAAGGCTAAAATTAAAACGCAGTTTCTATTTGCACTAAGTGTAAATAGCCTGTCTTGTTGGCAAAGGCTATTTACACTAACTCCACCCACCAATATCTGGTTGGGTCACACCACTTAACACTTAGGCCTAACCCTCAGGTGCTCTTCGTTTCGGCGTCACACGTGTTATCTTCCCGGTCAGAAGTGACCGGACACCTAAAAATTAAACTTTCTCCATCCCAGTAAAACCAATGCAATTTATTTTTGTTCAATAATATTTTTAATTTTGTATTTTGAGAGAATTTGATGTTACTTATTAATATGTATGCAATATTTATGGTCCATTTTTGCCATTGAAAATAATACAAAAACATTTTTTCCTAATTTTTACAAATATTTTTTCAATTATTGCAGTATTTCAGATTAATACAAGGACCAGACCTTTTAAATCCAATTTTTGAAGTCAGATTAACGCCATCTGTTGAGAGAAAATATATTTTATGGTGTAACCACTAGATGCCTGTCTATGGAGAGGCTTGTGAATTCTCTAGTTGTTTTTGGACCAAATTACTTACTTTTATGATGTGGATTTGAATGTTTTTTTTTTTTAATTCTCAAATAATACTTTTTTCCATGGTTTATAAAAAAAAAAAAAAAAAAAAAATTTGATGTGAAGTGTACACGTTTTTGCATTATTACTACAGTCAAACCTGAATACAGAGAAAGCATGCAGGTAACATTACAATTCAATAAAAAAAATAAACAGTAATGCTTTTTCACAGCTTATTATTATTATTTACATTATTATTGTTATTATTATTATTATTATTAAACATATTAATTTAAATAATACTATTAATTTAGTATTATTTTAATAATTTTAATAATACTTATATTATATATTATATTATATATATATTAATTATATTAATTAATTATGTTATGTTTTTCACTATTGATGTTTTTTCTGCATTGTGGCCGATTTGTAGAGAATTTGTGTTTGTCAATTTTCCATTCATTTCCTATGGTCGGTCATCTTTGACCGAAGAGCACAAGTGTTACTATTTTTTTTTTGTGTTCACATACCCAATGCCATAGAATTCTAGCCTGGTTAAAACCAGACCATTCTCAGTTGTAACTGAGTTATGGTCTGGCAAAGCGTCATAGACAAATCATTTCCAGAGGGGCTTCACCAACAGACGTCGCGGATAGACCTAAAACCAATCAGAGCGATGAAGGAGATGACGTATGCAGAGCGGCAGAAACATCTCCGAGTGTTGTTCTTTGCTCGGTTTTTAACAAAAAGGAAACGTTCAAATCGCTTAAAACAGACGCGATAGCTGATTCGAACGAGTGATGTTCGATGGCGGCATCCATCTTTGTAATGTAGGCTACAAAATCCCAGCGCTGTAGTCATCGTGTAAAGCCCGCCCCAACGTTTCTGATTGGTGCCTCGATTTCGACGGATTGGAAATGGGCTTGAATGAGCTCTTTGCCAGACTAACTTTCAGAGCAAATCTAAATTTGCCGGAAGTTGTCTGGGTTTTTCCAGGCTAATAGAATTCACCAAGTTTCGTAACATTCCGATGAAGCTGTGATTTTTAACATTTCGAAACAGAAAAATTTTCGGTCAGAAATGACCGAAGAGCACCAGAGGGTTAACAGTGGCGTAGGCCATATGTGTGGCGCCTGAAAGTAGCTTTTGACACGTTTCGACCTGAGTTCGAATCCGCCTTTTGCCGAACTTGCTCTTCTCCCTTTTCCCATCACATATTAGATTGGAAAGGCATTTATTTTTAATAAAAATGAAGAAAATATGTGAAAAGTGGAAATAAAGTGCCTAACGACTGGTTGATAATAAAGTGTTTATCAGTTAGGTGTAGGGGTAAGTGTAGGGATGGCTTTATTGTCCCAATAAGGGGGCATCCATTTAATAATTTAAATAAATATAGTAATTTACTTTGTTATTACTGCATCCTGTTAATGTACAACAATACTGAGGTGCAAATATCTGCCACTATTTATAAGTAAATAGCATCAAACAACTATTTGCAACTATTACAAAGAACCGCTAGTTTTATATAGTGTAAATAGAATATATCGCTATTTTCACTTAGTGCAAATAGCCGCTGCCAAAATTAATAACCTGAAACCACATTAAGTACTACATACAAACAAACATTGTAATTGGAGGACGTTCTTCATGACTAGGCCTATTAAAATGCATAATGCTATTACATTTTACAGACAGTGTTTTCTGTATATAAGCACAAATAATTTGTTTTTGACTTTAGTCCTTTAGAAATTACCTGCTAAGAACCCTCCAGCCTCATAAATCCACCACTCGAAGCAGAGCATCATGGTACTGGGGATGGCCAGTTTCATATATCCATCCCACTCCTGCAGTGAGTCACATGACCAGCCTATGGTGGGCAGAGAAAGATACTGCAGACACAGATGGAGTGGTATTTTATGCATTTATTAAAACATTGTTTACCATTAAGTTTAAGCTCACCTCCCCATGTTTGAATGTGGAGCTTCTTCCAGCGAATATATAAATAGAGGAAAACACAAATATAGATCTGAGATATGGTATTGGCAGCAGCAGATCCACTGAAATACAAATACCAGAAAAATGCATGACTTTAAAACTGGTACGGTAGTTCTACATCATTAAATGAATGGACATATAAGCAATATCAAATGAAAAACTGTCAAGGCACGAATATGAGTGTCCTGTGGTTTATGGATGGATTGCGTTTGATAGTTTTTATACATTTTAATTTGACACTTTAGACACATTATGGTGAGTTACTGCATGTATTTTTACTCAGCCAAAGAAAATAATCCCAAACAAAGCCACAGCAGAATCACGTCGCGTGTATCCAAAGAACACACAATGGCATTTTAATTCGTTCCTAAATTATCAGTGTTTTGAACAAATCGGTTTAGTCAATGATACAATGAATGAATCTCTCATCAGTGTTGATGATGGCCCACGTCGTTTCACTACCATACACAAATCCTCCCCAAGGCCTCGTGGGATAAAGTGTCCATTAGATGGGCACTTCAGAATCTCATCCGGATACTTTTCGCCTACTGTTTTATGAATACTGTAAATTTGAACATACACTGTTTTTCACCTACTATATATAATATGAAAGTATGCAATTTCAGATTCAGACAGTCACTTGATTCGTTGCTGAATGAATCCGTTTGTTTGAATGAATCGTTTGAATGAATCACTCAAACAGGCTGAGTAAACAGTGAAAAATCCCTGTAGCCTATTGCAGAACTATTAGGAAACAGCGCTTGAACAATCAATTTCGCGGACTGTCTATAACTGTTGCATGATTAACTAACACAATACATATTGTGTGTAAATGAGAGACAGGGATGACAGCCCATCGACTTACTATAACCCAAGGTTCAACCAGTTGAGAAGGATGTAGTTTGTCACCACATTAGCAATGTTGGCTGCAATGGCTGCATACATCTGAGGCAGAATCACACCCTACAGGCCCAAAACAGCCACTGTTAAAGCATCCTTTGGATTTACAGTCACTGCTGTGACATTACATTGAGTGACACATATGAAGCTACATTTACAAATCATACAGCAAGAAGATCTTTGCCAGTAAAGATCACAGTTGAAGGCTGAATTTGATAGGATACTCTGCAGGTTCTAAGATCTTGCATGCAACATTGCTTTTGAAGAGCTCAGCTAAGGTGCTTATCAATACTTATAACTTGCCAAAAGAAGATTGCATACCTGGTTCTGGAGATAGGCTACTTGCAGCTGATGCAAAAACATAGCCTGTGCGAAGAAAGAGAGAAAGGGAAACACTGCTGGCTGGAGTTGGGGTGAATATGTGTATCATATTTCAAGACATAGAATGTAAATTATACGGCAAGAGGAAAATGATGCTATTTTTTATGACTCACTGGGACTGCTGGCAGGTAACAGACCACATAGAGTTGAGCTATCCTGAAAAGGATCAAATTTGTTACTGTGATATAGGACAAGGCACCATTAATAATTTTAAAAAGAATGCTGCGAGTTATCACACAGCAGAATAAATCTGCTGCACAGTCATTTCCATCCTGGCCTGCATCTAAATTGAGTATTAGAATATGTGTCTGTGCACATTAAAACGCCTCATTTAACAATATTGTCGACATTTATTTAGGAAAGGAAGTCGCAAAATATGTTTGCAGAGATAGGGAGGATTGTCATTCGCTATCTTGTTTGCTCAAAACCTTGGGGACATAACTTTATACTAACATGCATAAATATTGTTTGTTTTTTGGTTCTAGTCAAAAGGATTTATTCATTCTAATGGTAAACAAGAAGTCATTCAGCACATACTTTTATCAACCTAGAGTTAGGCTGACGACTCGCTTGCAGTTTAAACCTGGTTTAGTTGCAGTTTAAGCACACCACACCATAACATTTTATCAGTTTTTTTCCTTATCCAGTAAAAATATCGAAACATCTATAAAAACAAGATTTTCTGCAAAATTTCATAAAATATGTTTTTGAGAATATATCTTGTCTTGAGGATTTTTCCTTTTTTTTAGCATAAACATCAAAAGATTTTGTTCGAGTTAAGAAAAAGCACTTTAATACACTGTGTATACCATTAGTAATTTATTGGTTATACTTTCGGTAGGGTTAGTTGAATAACTTGACATATACTTGCAAAGATAGTTAGTATAATGTCTGTTGGTGGACGATCAAAATAAAGTGTGAGCAGATATTAAGCAGACTGTCTGCTAATACTTTAATGAGAGTTAATTGACATGTAGGTGCAACGTTACTTAGTTAACACAATGTCTAGGGACCATCAAAATAAAGTGTTACAAATTTATTTGTTTATTGAATCACCTGGCCACCTCTGGGTCTTGACCCAGCAGAAGAAGGATGGGTTGTGTGTTGATGAGCAGAGCCCAACAGGGCAAACAGAAGAGCAAGAGGATCAGGACACTTCTCTGCAAGATGATGCCAACACGGCACAGGTTCTTCCCACCAAAGGTCTGAGGGGAACATAAGACCAAATCTCAGGCATGGCACTTTAAACTGATACTGTATTCCTGAAATGTCTCATGTGGTACCAAATTCAGAATTTCAGTAGAACCTTATTCTGTATTTCATTGCAGGAGTTCCAGTGGGGTTCAAAAATGCTTATTTTGCATTTTCTTAATTTAATACACATCTGACTGTCTGTACAAAATAATAAATAAATACATTTTCTAGAGGTTTTTGAATCCTCTCCAGTGTGGTCTGAGACTTTTGGACCCCACTGCATCCACACACATTTTCATACCTGAGAGATAAGTGTGTCAGCTGCCAGCGCAAGACCTCCACCTGTAGCTGCAGTTGTTATGTTTATCGTCTGATAAATCAGAATAACAAGCATCAGTTACTTCTCAGCCATGCTCTGAACTACTTCAGTACACTAGCTTCAAAACCAAGGGCTTATGATATGTCAAACCCCTGATGGCTGAACTTTACGACACTGTGCCAACATTTGCATTTCATACACCATTGTTTCATTTACCACAAAGCAAACTGCAACACTCAAGAGGAATAATAAGCAGACTGAAACAAACTCACAGCTGAAGCCATTCCATAACCAGCCAGCTCACTGTTTCCCAGGCGACCACAAAACATTGTTATGACAAACGGCAGGAGATAATTCAGAATGCGCGATGCAACCTGGAATGACAACCTGAGAATTGTCAGTGAATGAGAAGTGTGTGAGAGCACTAAGCCATAAAGGAAATAATGACAGTTCTTTGCAGAATCATTCCTTACCACATGAGGTGAAAGTTTCTGTTATGTTAATATGAATATGTGAATATTTTATCCTTATATAGTTATGTGCATATATTAGTGTATAAGTGAGAGAAAGAAGCTGAGTTCATACCAGGGGTCCGGTCATGCGCAGGATGTTGTAGAGCTCCTGTCTATATACCAGAGGGATACAACGTCTCACGGATCTGCAGCAAAAAATCTTAGAACTAGGCTCCATTGACGAAGCTTCAGTCCTGGGACTTGAAACATCCATGAGCTTCTTCGACCTGATCTGCAGTGAGGCCAGAGACACAACAGGGAACGATCCTGCTGCTGCAGCTGTGTTGCTCACAGGTCAATGTGGCAAAGTTTCACCATCTTAAAAGCTTACTGATTAGATGAAGCCACTTTCAACTGTGATATGTGTTCAACTTTGCAGTTAGATGACCTGAAGACAATTCTCATTTCTTGAGAATTTGAGGAATATGTTCAGCATGTGCCATTACAGTCAGGACTTTTATTAGATGACATAGATTTAGATATGATTAACAATATATATTATATATTTAGTTGTGCCATTTTAATGCTAGCCTTTAGGCTAGTCTTTAAAAGTGCTAAACGGTTTGTTAATGGAATCATAAGCAACCGGAATGGTTCCAGATTTCTATCCCTATTACGTCAATGTGATTCCATATGAACTAACATGTGGCCAATGATTGGAGTTCACAGCATGAAGGGGGATGGAGGGGGAAACTTAACAACACATCATCATAAACAGTCACAAACATAATTGGGAATAATTTCAAAGTTAAGGAAAAAAACAACAAACAAACAAAAAACTTTACAACATCACATTAAATAATGCTTCACCATGCATACCCCTAGGTGATAAAGTCTGAAGGGTAAAAATGCCATAACTGCCAAAATGTCTCGGGTTATGACTGTAACCAGGGAACGAGGCGCTCAGTTGGACCCAGTTAACTGCCCAGTGGCTTCAGATCGTAGTAATAGCGAGCAGGAAAGCTACCTTTAAAGATAAAATCCTCACGTGGGGACCCTGGACTGGACGACAGGCCTCATCCTCCAAGCTCCACGAAGGAAACGTACTATGAGTGGGTGTCTCCCCAAGGTGCCCACCCCTAGAGGCGTGTGGAAGGCAGCTATGGCCGCCACATAGACCTTGAGCGTGGACGGGGAGAGCCCATCAGAGAAGCGACTCTGGAGGAACTCCAGCACTGAAGCCACTGGGCAGTTAACTGGGTCCAACTGATGTTCTCTGCACCATAAGTTGAATACATTCCATTTTAATGCATACAGTTTCCTCGTGGAGGGGACTCTAGAGTTTAAGATGGTCTCAACAACCTCAGTTGAGAGACCAGCATTTATGAGTTGGTCCCCCTCAGGGGCCAGACCCACAGCTTACACAGCTCTGGCCGAGGGTGGAATATTGGGGTGGGGTGGGCCTACTAGAAGAGCCACGATGTCCGAAAACCATACTTGGGCCGGCCAGTACGGGGCTACTAGAAGCAAGCTGATCCCGTACCGCCGGACCCTCTCTAGAACCCCTGGGAGCAGAGCGATCGGGGGAACAGATGTAGCCTCGGCCACGTCTGCACCATGGCATCCAGTCCCAGAGGAGCTGGATGCGTGAGGGAGAACCAGAGCGGACAGTGAGTGTTCTCGTGAGAGGCGAACAGATCCCCTTCCACCTGACCAAACTCCCTCCATATCAACTCCACCGTCTCGGGGTGGAGTCTCCATTCCCCGGGCCTCAGTCCCTGCCTCGACAGGATGTCTGCTCCAACATTCTTGTCCCCGGGAATAAACATTGCTCTGACTGAGAGAAGTTTGCCCTGGAACCACAGAAGAACCTGATATGCCAATCTGCATAGAGGGCGCGATCTCAGGCACCCCTGTCGATTTATATGATACCACTGGCATATTGTCTGTTCGCACTAGAACATGATGGCCTCTGAGGTCCGGAAGAAAATGTCTGAGGGCCAGAATTACTGCCAACATCGCCAGGCAATTGATGTGCCATGAGAGATGATGGGCCTTCCATGACCGCACCCCAGCCTGTGAGGGATGCATCCGTGGTCAAAATTTTTCTCTGATACGATGCCCCCAACACAGGACCCTGGGACAGGAACCACGGTTTCTTCCACATGACCAAAGAACGAAGGCATTTGCGTGTTTTTTTGATCGTGCGAAATGGGTTCCCCCTCGAGGAAAACCCTCTGGTCCTGAGCCACCACTGCAGGGCCCTCATATACAGCAGGCCAAAAGGAATAACATTGGATGCTGCTGCCAGGAGACCCAGAACCCTTTGAAGGTGTTTGACAGTGATGCCCTGGCCTAGCTTGATACTCATTACTGTGGTCAAGATCGTGTATATGGAAGTACGCATCTTTTAGATCTATCGTGACAAACCAGTCCTCGGACCTGATCTGACTCACGATAATAGGTGTAGTTAGCATTTTGAACCTGTATCTCCTCAGAGACCGGTTCAATACCCTGAGATCTATTATAGGACGTTACCCCCCATCCTTCTTGGGAACTTTGAAGTACCGGCTGTAGAACCGGCTTCCCTCTCTTGAGGAGGAACCTGCTCTATGGCTTCCTTTACTAAGAGGGACTGAACTTCCTGTTCCATGACCTGACCCTGCTCGGGGCTGACCAGCGTGTGCACAACCCCGCTGAACTTTGGTGGACGATACTCGAACTGAATTCTGTACCCCTTTTCCACTGTGCGCAGGACCCACTGAGATATATTTCAAAGACCTTTCCAGGTGTTTAGATAATCTACTAAGGGGACCAGTCTCGAGAGACTGACCTCTGATTTTATATTTGGGATTTTGGTCCCACCCCGATCAGGAGTTAACTGATTTAATTTTTCTGCAGGCCTCGTGAGAAGAAGCGAACTCGGCAGGGCCGCAAGCTTTTCGGGCTTAAAACCGATGCGTCCCAAAGCGCACTTAGCGGCGGGAAGCAAACATTGATTTCCTGAGGGCTCCGCGAAGGAGCGAACTGTTGGTGCTCGGATCTAGGACGACGGCGGGGATAAGCTGTTTAAATGAGGCTGATTGTCGTTTCGTCTCCTGAAACCTCTGCGTCACCAAAGAGACCAGAGGACGAAACCGGGGCATCGAGGAGGAAGGCCTTGTCCCCAATGCCCGACAAATTCAGCCACAAAAGTCTCTCCGCAGCTACCAAAGCTGCCATGGAGCGGCCGATGGCGTGGGCCATCTCCTTGGTAGCACGAAGAGACAAGTCGACCGCTCAACGCATCTTTTGGATATCGTCGAGGGCGACCTCCCCGCTGTCGTCCACCTCTTTGAGGAGGTCGGGCTGGTATGCCTGCAGAAGCCCCATTGTGTGCAGGCATGCACCAGCCCGACCTGCCGCCATATATGCCTTCCCAACCAAGGCCGATGTTGTATGGCAGGGCTTGGCGAAACGGGCAACCCAGGTGCCAGTAAATGCCCCTGTCATCTCGACAGACGCCACTAATAGGCATGATAATAGATCTATTTTTGCCACGCAGTTGTTCTTACCGGCAACGTGCTGCAAGTTCGTGGTGAACTCTGAAATGTAGGATAGATACCGTTGCTGGCGGGCGGATACCAGCTCAGCCACCTTGGCCATGGCAAAAGTCAGTGGCTTGTGGTCCACAAAACAAGTGAAGTGTCGGCCTTCCAGCAGGGAACGAAAGTGTCTGATGGCGAGGTAGAGACCCAGCAGCTCCCGGTCGAAAGTGCTGTACTTCTGCTCACAGGGGAGCAGCTGACGGCTAAAGAAAGCCAGCGGCTGCCAGGCTCCGCCTACCCACTGCTCGTAGACAGCACCGACAGCATAGTCCGAGGCGTCCGAGGTGATGGCGATGGGGGCTGAAGGAGAAGGATGTGCCAGCATGGTGGCGTTCGCTAGGGCTGCCTTAGTGGCAGCAAAAGCCTTGTCTCTGCTCTCAGTCCAGTCCACAGCGTGCTTGGGTTTACCTTTCAAGGCCTCGAGCAAGGGCCGCATGAGCTGAGCGGCTTGAGGGATGAAGCGGTGGTAAAAATTTACCATGCCGAGGAACTCCTGCAGGGATTTGACAGTGAGCGGGCGTGGAAACTGTGTGACTGCCTCCACCTTTGATGGGAGAGGGACTGCCCCGTCCTTAGTGACTCTATGTCTTAGGAAGTCAATGGTGGAGAGACCGAACTGGCACTTGGCGGGGTTGACAATTAATCCATGTTGGCTAAGCCGCTCAAAAAGGGTTCGAAGGTGTGCCAGGTGCTGAGACTTGGATGTGCTCGCTACCAGGATGTCATCCAAGTACACAAAAAAGAAAGGCAGGTCCCGCAAAACAGAGTCCATGAGGCGCTGAAAAGATTGGGCGGCGTTTTTAAGGCCAAACGGCATGCGCAGGAACTCAAACAGACCAAACGGCGTGATCACTGCCGTTTTGGGAATTTCCAGTGGGTGTACCTGCACCTGATGGTATCCCCGGACGAGGTCCACCTTGGAAAAAATCTCCTTGCCAGCCAGGTGTGCTGAAAAATCCTGTATGTTCGGGACTGGGTATCGGTCAGGTGCCGTTGCCTAATTAAGCCGCCAGTAGTTGCCACACGGGCGCCAGCCGCCACCAGGTTTGGAGACGATGTGGAGGGGTGATGGTAGAAACACAAGCCTGAAAGCTGTTGGGGGCCAGATAACTGCTGCCGACGAGAACTGGTTGCAGCGATGAGTGTCGAGTCTTCCCGCGTCACCGAAGCGATGTGCGCGGGAAAAAGCGGGGCCGCACAATGTCCCTGACTCGCCAGGAAAAATTTATCAGCCTCTTCAGCCAGTCTCCGACAGTCTGTGATTGTGGTGTTGGCTAATGCAGCTCTCACTTGGGAAGGTAGCTGATGCAGGAAAAGCTGCATGAATAGAAAATCGGGTCTGTGCTCGCCCAAAAGATCCAGCATACGCTCCATGAGCTCGGACAGTTTGCTGTCACCCAGTTCTTGAAGTGAGAAAAGCCGGCTGGCTCTCTCAGCGTCCGACAGTTCAAAAGTTTTCAAGAGGTGGGCTTTGAGTGCTGCATACTTCTCAGTTGCCGGATGATTTGTAAGAAGGCTCACCACTCTGGATGCCGTTGAATTTCCGAGAGCCGACACAACGTAGTAGTATTTCGTTGTCTCCGCGGTGATCTCACGCGACGCGAACTGCGCTTCAGTCTGGGCGAACCATGCCTATGCTGACGATTCCCAGAATTCGGGGAGTTTGAGGGTGACAGCGTTCGCGGTCATGGTCGTGTCTATGGATACATCCAGCAGACTAATGTCGGGGTCACCAGTGTGGAAATTGTAGTAGCCTAATTTACAAGAGACAACTTCT